CCGGGCACAGCTCTGGAGACAGCAGCAAGGCAGCATGAAAACAAGAGGAATCAAACAGCAAAAACACAGGAGGTGCTGTCATCTTAATAAAAGGACAAAGCAGCCGGTCACCAGGAGCCCGAGCAGCTGTGAGCCAGCTATGCCCACCTTCCTGGATGTCCCTGTGGACAGAGCACCTTCCCAGCCAATGCCATGGGCATGGGAAGAGGGAAGGGAAGGAGGAGGCCCACCCAGGCATCACACCAGTTCAACTGGAGGCAAAGAAGCCACTTGGATACTGGGGAACAAGCAGTCACATATGTGGGTGACACAGCCTTTGCTAACTGCTGCCCGTGATGCTGGGCTCTAGTCCTTACTCTTCCTTAGGAGACAAGGAGCAAAGAGCCCTGGGTTTATACATTATTCTCACTGAAAAACAGCAAGATTGGAATTTGGGGGCCATTTGTTGCTAGATTTCAACAGAAGAGCAGCCAGCTCCTGGATTATGTGGGGAGCTGGAGAACCATGCTGCCCTCTTAATGTCTCTGAGAACCAAGAACTGGGGAGCGTCCTCGCTCTCTGCAGGTGACAACACAGCAGAGCCCTCCATGGTCAGAAAGAACAAATGAGGGGAATCCAGCTGAGAAAAGGGCAGTGGGGGACTTGCAGGCCAGTCAAAGGAGAAGGGAAAGCATATTGGAGTTGGAACAAGCCATCATGAAAACTCCCAAACTTAACTCACTTGGATAGGACATCACAGAGTGCTTAGAAGAATTAGCACTTTATCTTTGCAGACAAAAAGCAAGAACTTATTCTGCCATTGTGCAGTCACTGATTCCTTATTTATTTCTTTCTTGTTGTTTTTTTTTTTTCTTTTTTTGTTTCTGAAGAGTAAGCAAAAGAGGCGTCAATACAGCTCACCATGGAAACTGCTGCTGTGGACAAGGAATGGCTGATACATCCTCGGGATGTCACCCTCTAGCAGGTGGCCAAAAAAGGCACAAACCCTGTACCCAAGGCCAGTCTGGGTCCAGCTGTGCCCCATTCTGGAACACCTGGAAGCCAGGCTCCCTGGCAGGGTTACCCCTCGGGCAGTGACCCTGCAGTACCCCCGTGGAGGAATCCTTGCCTCGGTGCTCCCCCAAAACAGATTCATCAAAGGAAGTGGAGCTGCTTTCTTGGAGAGAAGCGGTTCCAACTGGAGGGCTGCAGTTGTCCGTGGCCAAGCTTTCCCATTGTTATTTTACAGTTGCTTGATGTTCTGAAAGATATTTAGAAAAATGACTTTAACTGTCCTGTGCCAAACTGGGTGAGGGTGAAAAAAAATGAAATTTGGCAGGGATGTTATTCATTCAGCATGTAGCTTGGATGACGTCCAGTGACTAACACAGGAGTTTTAACTGATCTGGGAGACTAAAAACCATTCACAAATAATTTGATTTAGGGTCACTGTGATTTCTTTTTATAAATAATTTTCATTGAGAAGTATTTTTTTAATTAGGATTGACAGACCCTAATAGCAACGCTATTGTGTGCACCGCTCATCATTCCCTTCTTCCTAAATGACTTTCATATGTTGTGTGCTGCTTTCTTGTTTGCTGCACACGATGGGGCTTGTTCACGGGGTAACCAACGCCTCACGACAGTGGTCGAGCCTTGCTGAACTCCTCTCTCCAAAGGCACGCTCCGAGGAGGACCCAGATGGAAAGTGAAGGGAGCTTTCACCATCCTGTTACACATTCCTGGGCTGAGCCTTCACCAGCCTCACACATCCCCCCGTGGCTGGAAAAGCCTTCTGAGTGCTCTGCAGCTGAGAGATGGCAACAGCAACTCGGCTTTGGTTGCTTCAGTGCTCCAACTCCCATCGTGGCACAGGAAGTTTTCTGAACCAGAATATGGTCCCTTTTCCATGGCGGGGGTGCTGGACAAGAGCAGGACCAAGGGAAATATCTGACACAACCTAGGAAAAAAGCCTAAACTCAGTCACCTCCTGAGCCAGCAGATCACCCGGCTCAGCCTGAGTAGATCTGGGCAAACTGCAGAATTCGGACAGTGGGTGAGAGAAGAATGACTCGGCGACTCAAATGAATCTTGCCTGGCAACATCCTCCGTGTGTGACAGCCTTTTCTTTGACTTGCACAATAACAATTGCAGTCCAGCCACTTCAGTTACTAATCTTATCTGTTGTTTGAATGGCTCTTAGCTTCCCTCCTGTTGATTAGAAATGTTTGTACAAGTTCTTGGAGTCAGCGGAGTTGTTGTTTCATAGCTGAATAAAAGGCTGGGGCTCCAAACTTCGAGATGCTCGCAGTAATGATCAGATATGTTCTTAAAAGCCCACTGAATTGGATTTCAAAACAAAAGACCCATTGATCTTAAGCCTGAAATCCCAGCCACAGCTCTGAAAACCTCTTCCCTTGTATTTCTGAGGAACTGAAACTGGTGTGAAAAATGACTACAACACTCAAAGAAAGGAGGATTATCTTATGAGAGGAAGCTACCTAAATTCGCTCTCATTTAGGCTATCAGAACAGGGCCGAAGGGGGTACAATTGCTACTGAGAGACACATGGAAGGGAAGAAACTGTTGAAAATCTTGTGAAATCTCCAAACTGAGAGTTGTGGGGCTGGAGATGAAAAGATTTCTGATTTTCAGAGCAAAGAGGTCTGGGTTTCAGCAGAAGCCACAGAGGCAGAGCAGTGTGCAGCCTGATAACCATATGGGAGGCACTGATAGGACTAGAACAGCCAGGACAGGCAGCACATGTCCAGAGTTCCCTGCAGGATTCCAGTCCAGTCTTTGGCCTGTAGAAGGCCAAACTGGATAATGTATGAAGAGACTCCCCTGGCTCCTGCACTTATCCATCACCCTGATCCATCCTATTTTGCACCTTGCCTCATTCAGCAGCCATCCCAAATTTGCCTCAGCTCGTTTATGTAGTTTTAGCACTGGGCAGACCAATTTAGGTTCCTGTGGGTCCCCTGGATGGGCTACTGTGGTGGAGCTCCCATTGAAAAGATTAACTTTTGGGAAGAAAATTACTTTTTCCTTAGTTCTGTTTACTTCAATAAGCAAATGCCTCATTCGAGCCAAATTCAGGCACAAAATCAGAGCATTAGGTAGTGGCTGTGACTTCCAACACTGAATGGTGCTGGGCAAGCAGAATCCCACCAATCATCCCACCAAATCACCAAGACTGTCAGGTTGTTCCCGGGATTGCTGGTATCCACTTGGAGCACATCCACTCCCAGAAAGCACCACTGGCCCGTGCTGGGGAGGAAAAATAACCTCTGCTGCTGGCCAGCATCCTCAGCACCAGCAAATTTTCACTGCAGCCCAATCAGAGAGAGACCAGCCACGATCCTCCAGGGCATAAATGCAATTCCTTGTGCATTTCCCAGTTCATCCACGAGGATACCTGGTGGTGATAGCAACAGGCTGCGTGGATCGACCTCGGTTTGGTTGTTTAAATTCATTTGACTTGAGGATAAAAAGAGCAAATCAAGAGAGAGGGGTTGCCAAAGCACCAGCCTGCAGCCTGCCATGACAATGCCAACTTGGACACGCAGTTTCCGTGCCAGGAAACACCCAGGGCAGCTCAGGTAGGCTGAAAATCAAACACAGCATCCACGGAGAGCACCGCACATCCCCAGCACTCAGGGTTTTTTCCTGCAGCTGCCAAGCTGCAGCTCAGCCAGCGCTGAAATATTGTTTCCGTGGTAAAAGGAAACTGTTTCTCTGTGTATTGCTTTTATTAGCCGTGGAGTCGCCATCACCAGGGCTTTAACCACAGCCATGGGGCAGGCTGGGGGTTCCTCTTGTGATATCTGAGCATCCTCTAACGCAACAAGATGTCTCAGCAGTTCACTCCCTGTCTCCTCGAGAAAGCCATTTGTGTGCCAGGCACATTCCACAGGCCACCCCAAAATTCACCTCATAGCACCACTCCTTGTGCAACACTTGCAGGGTATTTGGGATGCTAGAGGTACATCCACACATTCCACAGAAATCAGCAGTCCTGGAAGCAGCCGGCAGGGAAGCGACTTCTACCTAAAGCAATCCTGCCAGTTTGCTTCCTGACCTGCAGCATCAGGAGAAAACATCCTTACCAGGGCTGCAGCTGGCTTAAAAATTGAGGGTTGGGAAACAAGGACTAGAAGCTAAAGCATCTCTTCCAAAACCCACCCCTAAACTTCCAAAACCCACCTCCAAGTCTCCAAAATCCACCTCCAAGCCTCCAAAATCCCACCTCCAAGCTTCCAAAATCCCACCTCCAAGCCTCCAAAATCCCACCTCCAAGCCCCACCTCCAAACCCCCGCTGCGGGGGGACGCCTGATCCCCCCCCCGCTCCCCATCCCCGCTGCGCTCCCGAGCCTCCGAGCCCCGCGCCACGCCATAGGCCTATTAATTAACTTCCTTGTCACCCCCGAATAAACACGTATCCCACCCGGGCATCCCACCCGGGCATCCCCGCCATCCCACCCGGGCGGAGGGCCCGCTGCTGAGCGCTCTCCCGCACGGTTCCCCGCGGGAAGCACGAACCCGGCGGCTCTCCCGGGCCCCGCAAGCCGCCCCCGGGGTGCGGGAGCGCGGGTGCAGCGGGGCCGGCGGCGGGGCCGGTGCCGCCCGGAGCGGGGCTCGCTCGGACGCGGCGCCGGTGCCGGCGGGTGCGCGCAGCTGCAGTACCCGCGGCGGCCGCTCGGCGGCGCGGCGCTGCCGCCGTGCTCGCCGGGGCGGCCGGCGGCGGGGGCCGCTCTCTGCCGCCTTCCCGCGCCCTCTCCTCGCTCCGGCAGATCTCGCGAGAGCGCGGCCGGCTGGTGGCCGCGGGGGCTGTTGCAGCAGCGGCGGCGGCGGCGGCGGCGGGAGGAGGAGGCGGCGGCGGCGGCGGCGGCGGCCGGGGGCGGCCGAGGAGGCGGCGGCGGCGGCGGAGGAGGCGGCGGCGGCGCGGGGGCGGCCGCGCCGGGGCGAGCAGCGGCGGGCGAGGCCCGAGCGGCGGCGGCGGCGGAGCGGCGGCGGCATCATGGCGGACAGAGACAGCGGCAGCGAGCAGGGCGGCGGCGGCGGGGGCGCGGCGGGCGCCGGGGGGCCGGGCGCGGGCGGCGGCGGCCCGGGCGGCGGCGGCGGCGGCGGAGGGGGCCCGGGCGGCGGGCTGCAGCACGAGACGCAGGAGCTGGCCTCCAAGCGGGTGGACATCCAGAACAAGCGCTTCTACCTGGACGTGAAGCAGAACGCCAAGGGCCGCTTCCTCAAGATCGCCGAGGTGGGCGCGGGCGGCAACAAGAGCCGCCTGACCCTCTCCATGTCCGTGGCCGTCGAGTTCCGCGACTACCTGGGCGACTTCATCGAGCACTACGCGCAGCTGGGGCCCAGCCAGCCCCCCGAGCTGGCGCAGGCGGCCGACGAGCCCCGGCGGGCGCTGAAGAGCGAGTTCCTGGTGCGGGAGAACCGCAAGTACTACATGGATCTGAAGGAGAACCAGCGCGGGCGCTTCCTGCGCGTCCGCCAGACCGTGAACCGCGGCCCGGGGCTGGGCTCCACGCAGGGCCAGACCATCGCGCTGCCCGCACAGGGCCTCATCGAGTTCCGCGACGCCCTGGCCAAGCTCATCGACGACTACGGCGTGGAGGAGGAGCCGGCCGAGCTGCCCGAGGGCACCTCCTTGACTGTGGACAACAAGCGTTTCTTCTTCGACGTGGGTTCCAACAAGTACGGCGTGTTCATGCGGGTGAGCGAGGTGAAGCCCACCTACCGCAACTCCATCACCGTCCCCTACAAGGTCTGGGCCAAGTTCGGCCACACCTTCTGCAAGTACTCGGACGAGATGAAGAAGATCCAGGAGAAGCAGCGGGACAAGCGCGCCGCCGCCGCCGCCGCCCCCGCCGTGGGCGCCGAGCCGCCCCCCGAGGCCGAGGCGGCCGCCGCCGGGCCGCCCGGCGCGCTGCTGCAGGCCGAGGAGCCCGAGGAGGACTGACCGCCCGCCCCCCGGGACGCGGACTGGCCCCGCCGCCGGCGGGAGGGAGGGCGGGCGGCGGGGCGCGGGGGCGGCGCCCCCCGTGGAGGGGGGACTTGGGCGGATTTCGTGGGCGGCGGCGGCCCGGAGCCCCCCCTCCGCCCGGACCCGGAGCCCCCCCGGCCGCGCCGCCCGCCCGGCGCCCCCCCCGCCGCCCGGCAGCAGCAGCAGCAGCGCCTCAGACCCGCCACCCATCGCTGGATGTTCCTCCACTTTACCCACCGTATCAAACAGTAAGCAGCTGCTAAAAACAAAACAAAACAAAACAG